GGCTGGGCATGCTTAAGGTAGTGATAATCATTCATGCTGAACACATACACTAGGCATATATCAGAGTTAGAAGTTGGACAAGTTCAGATGCTAGAAAAGTTTTGAGTCATAAAATGACAAGGGTAACACAGTAGCATATAGATTCACAAAGTTTAAGTGATATAGATGTATAAAACACGAACACAACGAGAGGGAATGAAATTGACAGAGCCAAAGACACATACCAGTTGCAAATTAACAAACGGGTAAACAAGAAGAATAAGTCCAACAATACTTCAATCGTTAACAGTAGCAAGAACCGTAGAACCCAAGACTCAGTATGTCAGTGTTCCCAAGGGTATCAGATAAACCCCAGGCAGTGCTCGCACTAAGAAGGCCAGTTAATCAAAATCCGGTGGCCTTGGCTTTCAGCCGACCAAGAGCCAAGAGTGCAGAAAGTATAGAAGAATCAGAGTAGTGGTAACAGTAGTTAAGTAATGAAAAACAATTTTACCTCAAAGGGGAACATGTAAGGGGGTTTATATAGTAGCAAAATCAAACACATAAACAAGGAAAACAATCAATTAAATATAAAAAAGGGAAAAAAAAGCAAGCGAAATTGATTCATAATCAATTTAAGAGAAATCAGGCGAACACTAGTTTAAGACGGAGAATAAAAATAGTAAAAGATCTAACTAAATCGGACCCATATGGCCTGGTAGTGAGTGTATCGAGTTAGAAACATAAAGATAGTACAAAATCAAAATTGAACGAACACCTAATGACTCATCTTCCATGAATAATCGAGTACAAAATACTGTAACGTTGAGAAAATAGTAAGAACCATCGTGTGAGCAAAAAAGAAAATGGGATATGGAAGATTTTTCATGTGATATCGGATTAGGGCTGGGGTTTGAATGAGGGTGGATAGGGTTTCTCAGAGAAAGGGGAGAGAATGAGGGGATTTGGGGACAGCTGTCTCAGGAATGGGCGTTAGGGTTTGGGTGAGTGTAATTAAAACGGGGGAATGGGGTTATGGGTCGTTGTTCATTTGAGATCAACGGCCAAGATTAGAGGAGAAGCAGGGCGGGTCAAATGAACGGGTTGCATCCGGGTTGGGTTAATGGAGTCGTTTGGTTGGGGCCGCTGAAGAGTGAAAATGGAGTGGGCTAGTTGTTTGGGCCTGATTTTGGTCCGAAAATTAGCCCTATATTGAGCTAAGAATTAAATACACGAAAATTATTTAAAATAATTTATAAAAATAATTTATAAATAATAAAAATATGCCTTATGCAGTAAAATAATTGAAAATAATAGCTTAACATTATAAAAAATATAAAATGCTATTTTGGTGTAAATAATGTAATTATGTATAGAATATTTGCTATTATTGCAAAGTTGCGTAAATAGCTCAAAGAAACAGATGTAATTATATGAAATAAAGTAAAAATATTATAAAATAGGTATGTGAGTATAAATAATATATTTGGATGATTAGGTCATCACAAATAATTTGAAAGGATAATTAAAATAAATAGTTGAATAATTTAAATGCAAGAAAATCAATTTTAAAGCCTTAAAAATTATAAAAAATTACAGAAAGTACTTATATGACTCTTGGAAATTGGTGATGATGCAAGAATGATATTTTGAAAGTATATATAAAAATATGAGGGCAAAATTGGGTATCAACAGCTGGGGACGCAGCATTTCATGCGTGTAGGTCTTGATAGACAACTGGATAGACCTTCCCAGTAGACAGAGTCAAACATCAGCTCGGTTGGTAAGCTCCACTTCCTCGGAGTTACCAGGTCTAGACCTCGGAGTCTATTTTATATATACAGGTTTGATGGGTAGGTCAAGGCCCTATCCCGACCACAATACAATTTTGTTATCTCTAGAGGCTTGTAGACGAGTCCTGTATATTTTGTATGTTAGTATTGTGGCCTTGCTAGCCCTGTGTGCATGTTCAGTTTGGTATTGCTGGTTGTAAACGTTCATAGCGGCCTCGTCGGCCTGCATAGTTATGTATTTGAGATTTTGAGTATGTTTACCCCTCAGATGAGAGAGACGTTATTTTGAGATGATTTAGAATATGGCCTCATCGGCCTAAGTTGAGGGTTACCCCTCCAGAGTTCATAGTTACAGAGTGATACGCTCGGGCCGAGTATGGCATCGGGTGCCGGCCACACCTCTTCAAGTTTGGGGCGTGACAACCTTTGCTTTCAAGAAAATGGCATTTGTCTTTGTAATGCATTGGCCACTTTCGAGATGTGCATGATGGCCATTTTCACTGATATGGTGGAAACATTTGTAGAAATCTTCATAGATGATTTTTCAATCTTCGGGTCTTCTTATGATGATTGTTTGAAGAATCTGGGCAAGGTGTTGGCACATTGTGAAGAAACAAATTTGGTGCTAAATTGGGAAAAATGCCTTATGGTTCAAGAGGGCATCATTTTGGGTCATAGAATATCGAAGAGCGGAATTGAAGTTGATAAGGCGAAGGTGGTGGCAGTTGCAAAATTACCTCCACCCATCTATGTGAAGGGTGTCCGGAGTTTCTTAGAACACACATGTTTTAATAGACGCTTTATTAATGTTTTTCCTAAAATTGCTACTCCATTATGCAGGTTGCTCGAAAAGGATGTGACTTTCAATTTTGATGAAGCCTGCCTGAAGGTATTCGAGGAGCTCAAGGAGAAGTTGGTCGCTGCCCCCATCATTGTGGCACTAGATTGGTCATGTGTGATGCAAGTGACCATGCTATTGCAGCAGTGCTAGGCCAGAGGAAGGACAAGATGTTTTTCTCCATATACTATGCAAGTAAGACTCTTAATGATGTGTAACTCAATTACATCACTACTGAGAAGGAGTTGTTGGCAGTTGTATGGGCCTTTGAGAAATTTCAGGCTTACTTGGTGGGAACAAAAGTCATAGTCCACACCGATCATGCAGCCATCAGGTATCTATTTTTGAAAAAAGAATCCAAGGCTAGATTGATGCGCTGGATTTTGTTGTTGCAGGAATTTGATGTAGAAATACGAGATCGGAAGGGCACAGAAAACTAAGTGGTTGACCACCTGTCGCGGCTGGAAAATCATGAGCACGTGGAGGAAGGTGGACAAATTAAGGAGACATTTCCAAATGAACAACTTTTTGCCATCACCCATGACCCTGCCCCATGGTACGCATACTATGTGAATTATATTGTGAGTGGGGTTCTTCTTATTGAAATACAATCTGAGGCTAGTAAGAGGTTTTTGCATGATGTAAACTTTTACTACTGGGATGAGCCATTCTTGTACATACAGTGTGCTGATCAGTTGATGAGGAGGTGCATTCCGGAAAAAGAGGTGGAACTAGTGTTATATATTGGCATGCCTTGCCTTATGGGGGACATCATGGATGCGATAGGATTGCTGCAAAGGTCTTGGAGTCGAGGTTCTATTGGCCAACATTGTTCAAGGATGCCCATGCATTTGTTAAGAAGTATGACTAGTGTCAGAGAACAGGAACAATCACGAGGAGGCATGAGATGCCTTTGAACAATAAGGTAGAGATTTTTGATGTGTGGGGCATAGACTTCATGGGACCATTCCCATTGTCTATAGAAAATAAGTATATTTTGCTAGCGATGGACTATGTATCAAAATAGGTGGAGGTTGTTGCATTGCCAACCACTGATGCCAAGGTGGTAGCCGCTTTTGTGAAGAAGAATACATTCTCGAGGTTTGGGACCCCATGTGCCTTGATTAGTGATGAAGGGACACATTTCTGCAATAGGTTGTTGAATAAACTTCTAGCCAAATATGGGGTCCACCATAGAGTTGCCACGACATATCATCCACAAACAAGTGGACAAGATGAAGTGTCCAACAGAGAAATAAAGCAGATACTAGAGAAGACAGTGAGTATGAACAGGAAAGATAGGGCTGCAAAGCTAGATGATGCCTTGTGGGCATATAGAACTGCATACAAAACACCAATTGGAGCGTCTCTGTAAAAGCTTGTGTATGGGAAGACATGTCACTTGACGGTTGAACTTAAACATAAGTCGTGTTGGGCGGTCAAGAAGTTGAATATGGACTTGGAGGTGGCGGGCGAGAAGAGGCTCTTGCAGTTGAATGAGTTAGATGAATTCATGCTGCACTCCTATGAAAATGCTAAGCTTTGCAAGGAGAAAACTAAAAGATGGCATAACAGGCATATCAAGCCCCGTCACTTTGAACCAGGCAAAAAGGTACTATTGTTCAATTCCAGACTCAAGCTATTTCCTAGGAAGTTAAAATCAAGGTGGTCAGGTCCATTTGAGGTGGTGAGAGTCACCCCATATGGTGCAATCGAGTTGTACACTGTAAAATAAGGAATTTTTTTTGGTGAACGGGAAAAGAGTCCAACACTATTGGGGAGGTGTCATTGATCGTCAGAAGTCCAAAGTAATACTCGCTGATGAGTAAGCGTGGCTCTACGCCGTGCCGCGACGTAAAATCAGGCACTTGTTGGGAGAAAACTCAGCCTGTATTTTTTTATTTTATTTTTATAGTGTCACGTTTTGTTTTTATTTTGTTTTGCAGATTAGGGGAAGTTTGAGTACCCGAAGTTGAAGTTGAGGAGCATGCTTGAGCTTAAGTGTGGGGTCGTTCCGATCCTTAATATTGAGGATCATATTGCTAGCTAGGCCCTAGAGGGTCTCAGGGAGTGTTTCTCATCCTTAAAGGGAAGGAACATGTGACATAGCAATTATAGGAACCGATGCCTGCTCCTGAATCAAACGAAATCGACAAAGGGGAGGAGCCGTCGGTTCCTATAATTTCTATGTCGCATGTTCTTTCCCTTTACTGCTGGAAACGGAGATCGCATTCATCTCCCTTGCCGCCGGTTGATCCCCTCTTATTTGTTTAATTCCCTCTGGAGTTGGGAATTTCAGAAGTTGATGGTATGTTGATGGCACAACCTTCATCTTATGTAGCCACAGTCTGCCAAGAATAATTTTGTAGCCTATGTCGTCATCTACTACTTCAAACAAGGTAGTCTTCATAACCCCTTCGGCGTTTGTGAGCAGCAGGATCTCCCCTTAGGTTGTCACACTTATTAAGTTGAACCCAACGAGGAGCTTTGTGCCCGGAATAATGCTTCCGGTTAGCTTGGCTTATTCCAGCACTCTCCATTGAATGATATTGGCTGAACTTGCTGGGTCCACCAAAACACGTTTAATTTTAAAATCTAAAACATTAAGAGAAATTACCAGGGCATCATTGTGCGGTAGTAGGAGTCCATTAATGTCCTCCTCTATGAAAGTGATATCACCCTCGGCGACTTCCCGGAGTCTCTTGCTATGAGTCACTAATACCTTTGTCTTTTTTGCTGTTGAAAAGGTTACACCATTAATCTCGTTCCCCCCACCGAAAATCATGTTAATCGTTAGTCGAGGAGGATCTTCTCCTATCTTCAAGGGCTCTGTAATATCCCAGTTGCGGCCGTAGTTATTTTTAGCCCGGTCCCTTAAGAACTCTCTAAGATGGCCATTTTTCAGCAATGTCTCCACCTCCTCGCGCAGGTGCCGGCAGTCCCCAGTCCGATGGCCGTTAGTCCCATTATACTCGCACCATAGATTAGGATCCCTCTTACTGGGATCGGATCTCATCGGCCTCGGGATTCGTGCTTCCTTAATATTCCTCATCGTCGATACCAGCTCCACCATGCTGACATTGAAATTATACTCGGGCAATCTGGGATATGTGGAATCCCGGGAGCCTGATATCTCTTTGTCCTGCAATGATCTATTATTCCGGCCACGGTCAGTTCTCCTATCGGTAGCGAACCTGTCCGCCAACCGAAAACCTCTGTCGCGTCCTTCGCCCCTTTTGTAGAGTAAAAACCAGCCCTTAGAAGATCAGAGATCTGTGTCAAAATCGTCCTTCGACTTATCCTTGTTCTTTTCTCGATCCCGACCCTTGGTTGATGCTAGGAAATCGAGCTGGTCATCTTCTATTCTTATCTTTGATTCGTAGCGGTTGTGGACATCTGCCTATGTAGTTGGCTAGAACTCGAGCAAGCTTTCTTTCAGTTTCCGGAAAGCATCGGAGCTCCTCGGCTTCAACCCCTTAGTAAATGCCTCATCTGCCCATTCATCTAGCACGGCCGGTAGTAGCATCCTTTCCTTCTGAAACCTGGTCACGAACTCTCGCAGCAATTCAGACTCTCCTTGCGCAATGGTGAATATGTCGATAGTGGAACCGGCATGGGCCTTGATGAAAGAGTCCACGAGCTCCGCTCCATCAGTGCTTGCTCCAGTGGTTATCAATGTATGTTTAGATTAATTACACGTGTCCATATGAATCTTCAAAGGATGAGGTTGTTTTTGTCAATTCTCTATTATTATGCTTATATTTCCGTTGGTAGTAAGTTATAACCCAAAAAGTCGATTAATACTAGTACTTTACAGTATCAATATAATAAGCAATTAAACATATATAAAGATAACATTGACAAATAAAACCAAGCTCAAAAACTATGTAATAATTACTCTATTTTCTGAATAAATAAAATATATTCACCCGATTATGAAATAAATAAGCAATTTAACAGATATAATGTAGCTAGTGGGTATCATCTTTCATAGATTTTAGGTTTTTTTTTTTCAATTCTTATTATCAACGGAAATATAAGTATAATAATAGTGACTTAACAAAAACAATCTCATCCTTTGAAGATTCACATGGACACGTGTAATTAATCTAAACATGCATTGATAACTACTGGAGCAAGCACTAATGGAGCGGAGCCGCTCCCACCTAACAATCCTCAAAATGTCAGCTTTATAAGGTAAGTAAAGCACAAAAATAAAGTCAAATACAAATAATCGTTTAAAAAGATTCCACATTATCTTTGATAGAGGTGAGACGCGCGTACAAATCCTCACAAGGCGTCAATCATGTAATGAGGGTATAAGGCAAGAAGACGTGGGGAGCTTAAACCTCGATATTAGTCTACGAACGTGTAGGCTACCACCTTAATGCACATTAGTAATTATAGAAACGAAACCCCATTTCTATATATATATATATATCCATGCACATCCTTCTTTCTATATTATCTTCTTTGTTCTAATTCCTTTCTTAGAGAAAGAAGAAATAAGAAAAAGAAGAAGAAGAATGGGAATATCATCAAAGTTACAAGTTATTGGTTTGTTGTTAGTTGGCCTACTGGCTTTGCAGGCAGGGGCTAATTTTGATTATGGAGATGCCATGGACAAGACTTTGCTCTTCTTTGAGGCACAGAGGTCTGGAAAATTGCCTCCACATCAACGTGTCAAATGGCGCGGCGATTCTGGACTCAAGGATGGTTTTCTCCAAGGGGCAAGTCCATCTTTCTCTCTTTGCTTTTATGGTGTTTTTCGTAGGAAAGAACAAGTACTTAGAGCTAGTGGTGGAGCCAAATATTTTATTAAGGAGAGTCAAAATATAAAAAAGTAAACACATGAAGAAATAAATAAGATTCAACATGTAGTACATACACATAATTCTTTCATCTAGCTAGATAATATAATTTTTCGGTAAAGGGGTGTCAACAAAGTTGACTTTGCCAAAGCTTACAGTCGCTCTAATGTTTATTAATAGTGAACCTGAAGTATTTTTAAATGATGAATATAGGTTATGGATTTCTTTCTATATTTTAGAGGGAAGCATGCATAGCTAGAAATTAGATAAAGATTTGGAAGAAATTGAGTATATGATGGGCGAAATTTGTCAATATTGTAGTAATATTTATGGGTGTCAAGGGGCGGATATACCTTGACACAAGCGATGTCACATGACACAACTAAAATATTGCGTATAAATATAGCAAATAACACCACTTGTTATTATATTCATTTTTTTACTTTTTCAAATAACATCGCTTACAAAAAGTTTGTAGTACACTGTATACCGCTGATGGTTGAAATGGGAATGCATGCAGGTGAACTTGGTAGGAGGGTACTATGATGCAGGAGATCATGTAAAGTTTGGATTGCCAATGGCATTCAGTTTGACAATGCTAGCATGGAGTGCTGTTGACTACAGCAAGGAAATTGTAAAACTTAATCAGATGGGCAATACCTTGGCTGCCATTAAGTGGGGTACTGATTATTTCATCAAAGCACATACTCAGCCAAATGTTCTCTGGGCTCAGGTAATTGCATGAACTCTTCTTCTCTACGTCAACTACATTCAATTGCTTGTTCTCTATGTTGGTAGATAGAGTTAGTTGCAATAGTTTGGTCACCTGCATCATGAAGAACTGGACTTTCTATAGCTAATTAGCAATAACATGCTACCATGGCCAAACGGTTAATTGATGAAGTGGATGAAAAATCATGGGAGATTAAGATTCAAATCCTAACAAAGATATAAAAAAAAATGCTATTGATCTCTTTCTATTGAGGTGTGTACAAGTTGACTCCGATATCACTTATGAAATTATTAAAAAAAAATGGTTACGCCTGTCACCTAATCAAGGGAATTTTAATTTTTGGCATTCAATTGTACATCACCTACACATAACATCATGTTCATTTGACCGAGGCGTATCTTATTTGACATTGCAAGTTTTCATATTCTTGGCAGGTAAAGATTAACTTCAGGAAGAGAAATAAGGACGAATTTGTTAAACCACAACTATGTATCACAAAACGTCTTTAGAATTTTTTTTTTTTCAAATCCATATTATTTGAAACTTCTCTAAATGATCTGAATGTCTCAAGATGCCTTATAGCTTATTATTAATTGACTTTCTTTTGTATTTAAAGAAGAGATGAATGTTTAAAAATTTTGTAGTCCACTTTCATTAAGAGGGTAATAGGTAAACTGTAAAATCCTCGAATAATGAGATGTTAAAGTATTAGTTTCCTTGGCCAAAATTTCAGGTGGGAGATGGAGAATCTGATCATTATTGTTGGGAGAGAGCAGAAGACATGACAACCCCAAGAACTGCTTATAAACTTGATCCCAACCACCCTGGTTCTGACCTTGCTGCTGAAACTGCTGCTGCTTTGGCTGTTGCCGCTCTTGCATTCAAGCCTTATGACTCTTCCTACTCTGCCCTCCTTTTAGTGCACGCGAAACAGGTAACATCCTATGTGTGTTAGCGGTAAATGTCAGAAATTTTGCCAAAGGTCTTCAAGATTAAATAATATATTTGTAAAAAGTAATATTTGACCAACCTTTGCCGGCTAATAGCTTTGCCCTTGTGTGTGTATAAAGAGAGGATCTCTTGCATTCTTGTTTTAGCAAGGCTAAATTTAACTGGAAATTCTGAAAATGTTGCAGCTATTCTCATTTGCGGATACCTTCAGAGGTTTGTATGATGATTCCATCCCAAATGCTCAAGCATTCTACACATCATCTGGTTATTCGGTTAGTGATCATTTTTGTTACATGTTACTCGGAGACAATTCCCTGCCACTAGTTTTGGCTTAGTTTGCTTAAATCAACTTTCTTCATGGTGTAGGATGAGCTTCTTTGGGCTGCTGCCTGGCTCTATCGAGCAACTAAGGATGTGTACTATTTAAAATATGTGGTGGACAATGCGGTATCTTTGGGTGGAACTGGATGGGCAGTCAGGGAATTTTCTTGGGACAATAAATATGCTGGTGTTCAAATCCTTCTTACCAAGGTAATTAAAATAGTTAGAGATGTCCTAATTTCAAGAACAAAAATAAATATACTTTTAGAATTTGTTGTAACAGAGAATTTAGTTATTCGAGTATTAGGTCTTGCAATTTTGCATGTGGAATGTCTGATGAGATGTTGGTTTGATTACTTTGTAGATTCTCCTAGATGGAGATGGTGGATCATACACTCCAACACTAAAACAGTACAAGGCTAAAGCAGATTACTTTACCTGTGCTTGTTTGCAGAAAAATGATGGGTATAATGTAGTCCTGACTCCTGGTCAGTACACCTTGATAGAATTTCCCCAAAACTGTACTTTAAAATTATGTCTAAATGCTGATTAGTTAGTAAACATTTGTTTGTCCCGATAATGTTTTCCAGGAGGCCTGATTTATATTCGCGAATGGAATAATCTGCAATACGCTTCATCAGCCGCTTTCCTACTTGCCGTGTACTCCGATTATCTTTCTGAGAGAAAGGCTGTATTAACATGTCCGGAAGGTCAAGTTCGGCCATCAGATGTCCTTTCCTTTGCTAAATCACAGGTATGTACATTTCATCAGCTGGCCCTCTACTATTTTTAAAAAAGAAAAAGGAACTATTTCAAGGGTGTTGATAATGTGATAGTGATAGTTGTGATGACAAGAGATTTTTGATTTGATGGTTCTCACTAATTTAACCTATTTTGTTATCCGGCATGTTGCAGGCTGATTACATTCTTGGTAAAAATCCCAAGGCTATTAGCTACTTGGTTGGTTATGGACAAAACTACCCAATCCATGTTCACCACAGAGGCGCCTCCATTGCCCCTGTCTCAGTCCTTCATTCTGCTGTTAGTTGTATAGAAGGATTTGAGACTTGGTATCGCCGCCCTCAGGCAAATCCCAACATTATATATGGTGGCCTTGTGGGAGGTCCAAGCAAAATCGACGACTTCAGTGATGACAGGTCCAACTACGAACAAACCGAGCCAACATTATCCGGTTCAGCTCCTCTTGTAGGACTCTTCTGCAAATTGCAGTCCCTCTCTGCAGGTAAACCTTTATAAAATTGCAAGCTCTATTTAAGATTTTCAATAATGTCTTGCCATCTAATTAGTAGTTTCGGCTTTAAATTTCAGGTTCTTATCATCATAGATTACCAACACCTTACCAGAAGCCTCCAGGTTTGTAATTATTCTTTACAGCATTTGAAAAACTGAAATGAAGTTTCACACAACTATTGAAAACTTAAAACAATTTGGCCTTCGTATTCCGCAGTTTTCTATCACCCACAAACAGCAGCTCCCTACCATAAAGCTCCAGAATCATCAAACCCCTACAATAAAGCTCCAGGTTTGTTCCAACAATAATTTGACATTGCACTTTCATGTTTCTTCTTGTACTAGAAATTCACATTGCAATGAATGTTTATATACATTATTTAGAAAATAAAAAAGTAACATTTCTTGCAGGTGACCCGATCAAGTTTTTGCACTCAATAATTTCAACATGGACAATAGGACCAACAACTTACTACAAGCACAAGGTGGTGGTGAAGAACATATCTCAAAAGCCAATCACAAATCTCAAGTTAACGGTTGAAAACCTTTCAGGATCATTGTGGGGGCTCAGTCCATGCCTAGAGAAGAACACCTACGAGCTTCCTCAGTGGATTAAAATACTATCACCTGGTTCAGAACTCATTTTTGTATATGTTCAAGGAGGTGCCCAAGCCAGGGTTTCAACTAAGAGCTACCACTAATTGAAAGATGATCGGGGAAAACCAATTATTATCCAATTTTCTAGAGGCTCTAATTTTTTACCAAGATATTTTCCCTTTTCTTTTTTCATGTTTGAACCATTGACAATTGTAACATGGTAATGAGAATGCTATTATGAGATCAATGAACTTTGTGAATTATTATTGGTTTAATATTCATTTTCCTTTTCTTTCTCTTGACTTGTATCAAGCAAATGCATTTACTTAAGTTTCTACCACGACAAAAGTTATTGTTTATCTATATCTAAGAGGTGCACAGAGGATTCTATCTCAGTGGTAAGATCCAAGCCTGAACATCTAGGTATACAGTTCGGCTCATGTGTGCATCACGAGTGTTTATGCTGGGAGGCCTATTAGCGGAGTAGGCCAGCTGATGCTGCACCACTTTCATGGCACGAGTTCTCTGTTTTTTTTTGGAGAAGTTTGTGCCACCGACCCACAGGGAGGAGTTGCATAGACAGCTTGAGCAGCTACGCTAGGAGGGTATGTCTGTGACCCAGTATGAGATGAGATTTTCAGAGTTGGTTCGTCACGCGATCTGGTTGGTTCCCACAGAGAAGGAGAGGATTAGGAGGTTCATTAATGGCCTCAAATGTGGACTGCACTTTGTTATGACTCGAGAGAATGTATCAGGTGCTAGGTTTGACAAGGTGGTTGATATTGCTCAGCGACTAGAGCTGGTTAGCGGTGTTTCTTATGGGGGCAATCCCACCACAGCAGGGGTCGTCCTTATAGGCCCGCTCAGATGGCTCATCCGGTTCATCGTGGTGCATCAGTTAGCCATGGTTCATACAGTGCTTGTCCGAGTTAGTCATCTCTCAGTGCCCTCCCAGCTCAGAGTTCATCTCGTGCTCTATCAGTTTAGGATTCATCTGTTCCAAGCCCCTCTAGTAGTTATTCTGGTTCTCGGGGTCCTCTTTAGTACTTGTCGTCATTGTTAGAGCGGGGTTGCTTTGATTGTGGAGAGTTTGGTCATGTGAAGAGGCATTGTCCCCGCCTTTTGGGAGGTCCAGTTCAGCAGAGAAATCAGGCGGTGACTTCCGCACCATTTACTTCACCCCGCTCAGCTAGCTCGGGGTGGGGCTCAGGCAGCTAGAGGTTACCCTAGAGGGGAAGGCCGATCAGGTGGCGGTCAGACTCGATTCTATGCTATTCCTGCCAGGCCAAAGGCCGTTGCTTCAGACATAGTGATCACAGGTATTGTCTCAGTATGCCACAGAGATGCTTCTATATTATTTGACCCTGGTTCCACTTATTCGTATCTATCATCATATTTTGCTCGTTATTTGGATATGCCCCGTGAGTCCTTAGTTTTACTTGTTCGTGTATCTACGCCGGTGGGTGATACTATTATTGTGGACCGTGTGTATCGGTCGTGTGTGGTGACTATTGGGGGATTGGAGACTAGAGTTGATCTCTTATTGCTTAGTATGGATGATTTCAACGTGATTTTGGGTATGGATTGGTTGTCCCCATGTCATGCTATTCTGGATTGTCACGCTAAGACCGTGACGTTGGTGATGTCGGGATTGCCAAGGATAGAGTGGAGAGGTTCTCTAGATTATGTTTCTAGCAGGGTGATTTCTTATCTGAAGGCCCAACGGATGGTTGGGAAGGGGTGTCTGACATATTTGGACTTTGTGAGGGACGTTGGTGCTGATACTCCTACTATTGATTCTGTTCCGGTAGTACGAGACTTTCTGATTGTGTTTCCTGCAGACCTATCGGGCATGCTACCCGACAGAGATATTGATTTTGGTATTGACTTGGTGCAGGGCACTCAGCCCATTTCTATTCCTCCGTATTGTATGACACCAGCAGAGTTGAATGATTTGAAAGAGCAGCTTTAGGAGCTTCTTGATAAGGGGTTTGTTAGGCCTAGTGTGTCACCTTGGGGTGCACCGGTTCTGTTTGTGAAGAAGGAGGATGGTACTATACGGATGTGCATCGACTATAGGCAGTTGAACAAAGTTACAATTAAGAACAAGTATCCTTTGCCGCGCATTGATGGTCTATTTGTCCAGCTTCAGGGAGTGAAAGTGTTCTATAAGATTGATTTAAGCTTTGGGTATCACCAGTAGAAGATTCACTCGGATATTCTGAAGTCGACATTCAGGACCAGCTATGGTCACTATGAGTTCCTTGTGATATCTTTTGGGCTGACCAACGGCCCAGCAACATTCATGCATCTTATGAATAGTGTATTCCAGCCGTATCTTGATTCGTTTGTCATAGTATTTATTGATGATATCCTGGTGTACTCACGTAGCTAAGAGGAGCATGCACAACATTTGAGATTATACTACAGTGGTTGAGGGAGGAGAAGCTTTATGCCAAGTTCTCCAAGTATGAGTTTTGGCTCAGTTCGATGGCGTTCTTGGGGCATGTGGTGTCCAGTGAGGGGATTAAGGTGGATCCAAAGAAGATAGAGGCAGTTCAGAGTTGGCCCAGACCGTCTTTAGCTACTGAAATTCAAAGTTTTCTTTGCTTGGCCAGATATTATTGCCGCTTCGTGGAGGGTTTCTCGTCCATTGCAGTCCCTTTGACTAGGTTGACCCAGAATGGTGCGCCATTCAGGTGGTCGGATGAGTGTGAGGAGAGCTTTCAGAAGCTCAAGACTGCCTTGACCAGAACTCTAGTTCTAGTTTTGCCTTCAGCATCGGGTTCTTATACTATGTATTGTGATGCTTCTCAGATTGGTATTGGGTGTGTCTTGATGCAAGAGGGTAGAGTGATTTCTTATGCTTCGGGCCAGTGGAAGCTCCATGAGAAAAACTACCATGTTCATGATTTGGAGTTGGCAGGCATCGTTCATGCATTGAAGATTTTGAGGCATTATCTCTACGGTGTGTCTTGTGAGGTATTTACCGAGCATCAGAGTCTCCAACACTTGTTCAAACAAAGGGATCTAAATTTGAGGCAGCAAAGATGGTTGGAGCTGCTAAAGGACTATGATATTACCATTCTGTATCATCCCGTTTAGGCCAATGTGGTCGTCAATGCCTTGAGTAGAAAGGCGGTGAGTATGGGTAACCTTGAATTTATTCCGGTAGGTGAGAGACCGCTTGCATTATATGTTCAGGCCTTGGCTAATCAGTTCATGAGGTTAGATGTTTCGGAGCCCAGTCAGGTTATAGTTTGTGTGGTTTCTCGGTCTTCCTTATATGATCGCATCAGAGAGCGTCAGTATGATGACCCCCATTTTCTTGTCCTTAAGGACACGGTTCAGCACAATGATGCCAATGAGGTTACTATTGGGAATGATAGGGTGTTGCAGATGCAGGGTCGGATTTGTGTGCCCAATGTAGATGGTCTACGTGAGTTGATTCTTGAGGAGGCCCATAGTTTTCGATATTCCATTCATCCCAGTCGCAAAGATGTATCAGGACTTGAGGCAGCACTATTGGTGGAGGAGGATGAAAAAGGATATAGTGGGGGTTGTAGCTCGGTGCCTAAATTGTTAGCAGGTTAAGTACGAGCATTAGAGACCGGGCGGATTGCTTCAGAGGTTGGGAGCGTATCACCATGGACTTTGTAGTTGGGCTCCCACGGACTTCGAGAAAGTTTGATGCTATTTGGGTGACTGTGGATCGGTTGACCAAGTCCGCGCATTTCATTCTAGTTGGGACTACCTATTCTTCGGAGCGATTTGCTGAGATCTACATCCGCGAGATTGTTCGCCTTCACGGTGTACCAATATCCATCATTTCAGATCGGGGCACACAGTTTACATCGCAGTTTTTTAGAGCAGTGTTGCGAGAGTTAGGTACACAAGTTGAGTTGAGTACAACATTCTACCTGTTGATACCCAATTTTTCTCTCATATTTTTTAAATATTATATATACTTTGAAAATATCATTCTTGCATCATCACCAATTTACAAGAGTCATATAAGTATTTTCTATAATTTTTCATAATTTTTAAGGCATTAAAATTGATTTTTTTGTATTTAAATTGTTCAAATATTTATTAATTACTCCTTTAAATTATTTTGTGATGACTTAATCATCCAAATTTACTATTTAAACCCACATATATGCTTTATAATATTTTTAATTTTATTTTTATAATTACATTTATATTTTTGAGCTATTTATATAATTTTGCAATAATAGCCTATATTCTATACATAACTCATTATTTACATTGTATAATAAAATAATATTTTTATAATGCTAAGCTATTATTTCCAATCGTTTTACTACATAAGTAGTATTTTTATTATTTATTAATTGTTTCTATAAATTATTTTTAACAATTGTTTCTCATATTTAATTTCATAGCCCAATTCCAAGCTAATTTTCGGACCAAAAACAAGCCCAAAATATTTGGCACATTCCCAGTTCACCCTTCAGCAGCCCAAGACCAAATAACCCTCTTTAAAACCCGATCACAACCCGACTTTAACCCGCCCCGCTCTTCTTTCGATCTCAGTCGTTGATCTTAAATGATCAACGACTCAAATTAAGCCGACCCCTTTCTTTATATCCCTCCCCACTAACCCTAGAGACCCATTCTCCACTTCAGCCTCCTCCATTTCCTCTCGAACATTCCACTCATCTCTGAAAGAAACCCTAGCCGCCTTCATTGAAACCCCAACCCCTAATCAGAAATCACATGGAAAATCTTCCATATTCCCTTTCCCTTTTTTGCACACATGACGGTTCTTACCATTTCCTCAACGTTACAGTATTTGGTACTCGATTATTTATGGAAGCTGAGTCAGTGGGTGTTCGTTCAACTCCGATTCTGTACCATCTTCATGTTCTTGCCTTGATACACTCACTACCAGACTATATGGGTCCGATTCAGTGAGATTCTTTAGTTATTTGTGTTCTCCTTCTTGAACTAGGGTTTACCCGATTTTTCTCCTAAACTGATTCTGAATTGATTTTGCATGTTTCTCTTTCCTTATTTGTGTTTGATTGATTATATTGCCTTGTTTGTTCGTTCAATTTCTACTACTATATAAACCCCATTTCCCATTCCCCTTCTAAGTCTGAACAACTACTACAAGAACAACTACCACTTAACTACTGTATTATCACTATCACTCAATCACTCACTTTATTCTAAAAATTTTGGTTCTTGGCCGGCTGAAAGCCAAGGCCACCGGAGTTCGTTCTATCGGCCTTCCGAG